TGCAACAGTTTTAAATAAGTCCATTTTTTATTGTCCTTTGCACCTTGTATTTTCCTGGCTGTGGAAGTCCAGCATCTTACATTTTGGAAACTGAGCCGTGATATGACAAATATTTCTGGCCAGTATTTCTAGCTCTGGCAGGGCTTGAAGAATTCTTGGCTGGCTTTTACAGTAGACTGATACCTTAGACCAAATGTAACAAGAGGCAGAGTACAGCATGTAGAATTAAATCATGTTACTTGTTATATTATTTTTCTTGTCTTGAAATTATTCACTGTATTCTGGGATTTGTGATAAATAGACAGTCATTATAAGATGTTTTAATCAATAGTTAGATGTTAAATAATTCTAAACAAAACATCTGAAAGATCCTTTTGTCTTTCAGCAAGATAATTACTCTGGGAAGTTTGCTTTCATAATTCATTTGGGAAGTCCAGTGTACGGAATGTTTGGGAGGCAGGATTTCTGATATCTGTGGTTTCTCCTCTGGAACCTTCTTTGCAGACATGTCAATGGGCACTGTTCATAAGCACACAAAGACACAAGTTGCACAGTTAGAAGTCTTTGCAAAGGTACCTCATGTTTAGGAGAAAAGGGAAGGAGAAGGCTATCGTGTCATTGCTAAGCCACTAATTGACTAAAACGTAGGCATCTTTGTTCCTGCTCACAGTAACAATCATACGTATGTAAGTAAAGGCTGACAGAGTGCGAGTGGGAATAGTGGAGAAGTAATGGTGCAGCTTTCCAAAGAGATGAGCTTTGAGGTGGGAACCAAGAGAGAGGGAAAGTTTCCTCCCTGCTGCATTGTTTTTAGTGCGTGGCTGGCTGCACAGCCATTGAATCAGTTGGTGTGAATGCACCCTGCGAAAAAGACTTCAAATTTTATTTTTGGGCAGATCAGTGGGTTAATAGGAACTTACAGGGCCAGATGAGCCCTTCTCCTGGCAGGAGTGTATGAAAAGTCCATGGCTGAGACCCTTTTAGTGGCAGACCTCAGTTAAATCGTCATAAATTGGCTGTGAAACTATACTTTTAATGATAAAGGGACCTACTAAGAGGTAAATAGATACCTTTGTATTGAAAAATATTCTCTGAACATATATTGCATTATTAATGCTGGCCAGAGTGTCTGATCAGTTCAGGAGAGCATGTGTTGAATGTCTGTGGGAGGATCTGGGAGACCAAAAGCCGCCCTCCCAGCAAGCTCACAACAATGCAGCTAATATTAATTGAAAGTGATGGTAAGCTCCAGGAATTTAGGGTTTAAACTGAACTCAAATTTGAGGATTAGGCAGAGACTACTTAATCTTCTAAGTGTTTGTGTTCCCAGATAAGCCTTGATAACACCCTGAGTGTTCCTCTGCACCCACCGACTGGTTAACGAGTTGCTTAACGTGCCCTTTCAGAAGTGAGCGGAGGGAGGAGGCAGAGGTGCACCACCTTGGGCTGAGGTTGGTGTAATCACAGATGGCTCCCTGGGCGCTGTCTGAGCAGCAGGAAAGCCCCATAGAGGGGCTGGAGAAGAGAGACCGTGGGCCCAGGAGCTGACAGGTTTGACGGAAGTACACCTGTAAGCAGCGCACAGCGAGGCCGCTGTGTTTGCAAAGGAGCAAGCCCTGTACATAGTAACAGAAAGGCTTTGATAGGAAAGAACTTGAATAGAATGGTGCAGCGTTACTAACCACCTATTTATAGCTGCAAGGTTAGGGCGATGTGTAACTGCCCATGTTTTGTTTGGAAGAAATGAGTAGAGGAAGTAGTGTATTTCCTTCTTCTTGTTACACTCAGTTGATAGCTGTTGGTTTAAGTGAGGCTTAAACATCATAAAATATACCTCTTGTGTTCCCCCATCTGCTGTTTGCCCTTCCTTTCTGCAGTGAAGGTTATTTTATCAATTCTACCTGTACGTGGCACAGGCTTCTTGAGCTGGCCTCCATGCTGTTGCTGTGCCTGGTTTGCCCATCTTCCCTTCGGCTTTCTTTCCCCGTATCTCTTACCCAGCTGTTTCAAACATACATGGCAGTATCACAGCGAGTCCTTCCAGCATGAAGTCATTCATTGTCGTCAGATGTTTAATAGCTGCACAATTAGCCTTGGGCACACGTGGTCTTCTCCTGGAAGAGTTGTGCATACTGTGATCAGCGTAATGACCATCTGCACTGTTGGCCTGAGCGAGATGAAAGGGGCCCTTAAGTGCTTTGCAGATCCAGGAGCAAAGTGTGCTCTGGTTGAAGTCTACATCAGGAAAACTGTTACCAATGAATTTAAGTGCGTGTTCTTTAGGGACGTTCTGCACCACATCCTGTCCCAAAGACTCACTGATGTGGGTCACTGTGCTTTTCATGAACAGAGTCAGGGAATGAGAGCAATTCCATGTTTCACTGGTAGGGAAAAAAGGTGATCCTGACATGCACTTCACACCTCAGTTTCTTTCAAAATTGCTTTTGCAGTCATTCAGATTGAGAAGCTTTCAGTAACTGTTGTCAGATTTGGCTACTAAATGCCAAGCATGGAAAGCATGGTGTTTCCAGTTGTCTTTTGTAAACGTTATGCAATCTATTTGTTGGTGTTTCTGATAAAGGTGATAAGCCTGCTTGAAGGTCAGGTGTGTTCCTTCCTAGGTCTTGATGTTCTATGTCTTGCGAGGTCTCTAGTCTGTTTTTAACGGTTTACAAAATCTGGGCCAGAGAAAGGCCAAGGGAGGAATACATATCTGCCATGGGTTGTTCAAAAGTTGAAAGTTTTGACACAGCAAAAGGCCTAACACGGTCTTTGGTTGAATGTAGGCATAGGATCTGCAGAGAGCCTTGATCACCGTGTCTCTGCTGGTCTTCGTTTTGTCAGAGAGATGAACAAGTAACATATTAATTGCAGCTTACAGATTTTGATTTCAAAATAAATTTTATTAGTTAATGTTCTTAGTTGCAATCAGGAAAGATTCTTGGCCTGTTGCAGCTGTACTTTTCTGTGGCTCATAGTGTTATAAAAAGGCAGAGGATTACGGGGCTTTGATGACTTTAATAAAATCTATTTTTTGCTGTTAGGATCATTGATGTAGTATATGTTTTGAATTAAAGTTCTCATTATCACATTAAGATTAAACAAGGAGTTAATTAAGTGTATGGAAGTAATTGAATGCTAATACTGCAACACTGCAGTGAAAATGAGGCAGTATTTCCATACTAACCTCTAGCTTCCTCCTTGTTGTAAGTAACATGCCTGTGAATGTGCATCAAAGTACACTTCTGACTCAGGCAGAAAGTTTTTATGGCTGGCAGCGCTATACCTCTTGGTAGTAACATGCCAGGCCATCGTCTTCTGAACATTCCTGTGATAGGACAACCCTATTAAAATTTAGAGGTGCTTTTCTTATATCTGCGCTCACCGGACATGAGAAGAAAATTGTGTGTGTGTGTGTGTGTTAAAACTTGGCATCTGCAAATGGCTGGAATTCAACTTGCAGACTTGAAAGCTGGTTTTGATTAGAAACAGTAAAATTGAAATGATGTAAGAATGCCTGTTCTACTTGTTGCATGTGATTTTTGTTAGTTTTAGGAAGACCTGTTGGACTGTGAGGCATGGAACATGCAGATAACTTACTTTCTGATTATTCTTTTAGCACCAAATAATTATTTTGTTAAATAATCCAAGATTTGAGGCAGGAAGACAGATGATCTTAAATATTGTACCACAAATTTTATGTGTCCATTGGAGAGGTTGAGCTCTGCTTCTTTCTCCTGTAGCATTTGTTTACCTCATTGCTTTGAAGTATGAATGCACAGTGTACAGATTTCCCCTGTATATGTGGTAATAAAACTTAATATTTCAGTGGCAAACCATGATTTACAGTAATAAAATGAGTACAGAGAAGGCTTGCGGAAGTCGGAGAGATTTGAACCGGAGCTGCACCTATTTTTGAAAGAGTTGGGCACTCATCCCCAAATACGTATTCTAACCTGCTTTTCAAAAAATGTGCTTTTCTTTTTTTATGGGAAACCTGAACAGTAAAAATAGTTACTAGAGCAGCTTCTGTCCATTTGCGTACAAGTCTCGGATGGGGCTGCTGCAGGCAGAGAAATGCCGTCTCTGAATGCAGTAGGTTAATCTTGCTGGTTTGTGATGCCGCATTGAAAACAGGAGCGTCTTTTGCTCTCAAATATGGCAGTACGTGTGATACATCCTGACTTCGGCGAGGCTTTAAATACTGTGACCGAAACTGGAAGCATGCTCTGTAGGAAAGATGTAGGCAGATGGGAAAGAGCCCAGAGGGGAGTGACAGGAATAGGAGGTTTAGCAAACGTAAGCTGTAATGGAAGACGGAAGGAATTGATTTGTTTAGCCTAAAAATACAGAAGGAAACGCAAGTCACCCAATATGTAAGAGGTTGCTTTAAAAGGCATGACAATCGGTTTTTCTCCGTGACCACTGAGAGATGCAAGAAGACATCGGGCAGGGATTGAAGCTGGGTAGTAGGATAAACATTTGAACTTCTAGGGAGGTGGTAAAATGAAAGACAGGCTGTTGAGAAGACCTGCAGGATGGGAGTTTGGAGAACAGGTTCGACGGAAATCTGTTGGAAGTGGTTTGGATGTGTGCTCTCAGGTGATAGTTTGAAATACCTTCCTTTTGTGGTGGTTGATACCATGGGAAGCTTTCAAGAGACTAATCTTGCAGAGTTTCACAATATTGCACATTCTGATCAAGGAGCCACTTAAATTTTGTGGGTGAAGCAAAGATCCATCCCTGGCCATCCTGATCTTGCATGGCATACAAAGACCTCCTCTCTGGCTGCCAGTCCCTCCCAAGGGAGCACGCACCGTATCCTGATGCCGGCCCATTGCACGGCCATGCCACTGCTGGGACTGACACACAGCAGCCGCGCTCAGCTGGCACTAACGTTTCCCTGGAGAGTTGCTGCTTTCTGGAAAAGGAGGGCAGAGCTCGTTTTGAGTCTTTCCATGCCCTCTCCCACCTGTGAGGGGTGCTTTTGGGAAGGCGTGATGCCGAAGGTGAGATACTGAACACGTTTAAATCAGTGGACAGTAAAGGCCATAACAGGCATACAGTTATTTTGGGACACTTAAATATTGGACATGAGTATTTCCAGGCCTGTAGTTGGATATTAAACCAGTTCTTCACCCACTGTTGGCTTGGATATCTTCTAATCTGCAGCCTCTTGAGCATCAAAGCCATTTTTATACATCCTTGATGGAATATATTTACTTACTGGTATCTCTTTTGCTAACACTGAGGAGATGTGCTTATTTGCTTTTTCCAAGGAAACTTACAGGTGATAAACACTTAAAAGCCCAGCCTTCATTACTGATATAAATGGCTTATAAAATTTTTTACCCCTTTATGATTGTCTTTCATTCTGTTGTGTATCATATCTATTCTCACTATTACTCTCAGATAAATTAGTTTGGAGAATCCAGACAAATCCATGCTTAGGCATCTGAGGACTGGAAACTCAGTAAGTGAGCAGGCTGCTATATTCTTTGTGAAATAATAATAATTTTTTCTACTCTTCAAAAGTAATGGCTTACCAAAACAATGAAAAGATGGTACAAAATACATAAATCAGATTTAAGGCTCCTTCTGCAACCATAATACTTCTCTTGTGTGTCATAGTACATATGTCATATTTAATAATATTCAAACTATTAGTCCTTTAAAACATACGTTTTACCCACACTTGCTGAAATTTGCCATGTAGCCAGAACTATAACTTCATTCTCTTGGGTGTTAAATCTTAGGCCTTCTGCAAATTTGAGAATTAATGCAAATAAAACAGACATTGAGAAGAGCAAAATGCAGCTGTTGAAAATATCTTCCAGCGATGGCATTTCCATAATTGCAGTCTACTAAAAATCTAAAAAATTGAGCCTTGGACAGTGCTGGAGAATGAAAGCTCATTGTAGAGAATTCTTGCAGTTTTGGAACAGGCATTAATATGTTTTTTTTCCCTTCATCAGCCACACGGCTCCACAAGTGGGACGTGTGGTTAGCCGGTGGTGTTCATCTGCATGAGCGTGCTGTGTGTGACATAGGATGTTCCACATGTTCAGAGGTGTTTCCCGTGATGTCAGCCTGTGGGAACTGGAAACACATTGTAGGCGGAACTGGTGTGAGAATACCTCTGTGTTAGTGGGACACGTGGAAGTAGTTGTTGTGTTTATGCTGTTGCTTTGTACATGACACACCCTATAGGCTGTGAGTGCCCAAATATACTTGGATTGATGGGTAGCGCTACTCTGTTTTCTGTCATCTGGCTTCTCAGGGTTACCTGGAACAAAATTACTTTGCTACTCCATCCTATGTAAGTCTCAGGTTTGAACAAGAGGTGAAAAGTATCTAACATGTATCCTGCAAAATCCCCTAATAAGGCTGGGTATGGGACACTCTGGTTGCCCTAACATCTAGGAGGATCTCAGTGCACTTTATGGAACTGCTTGAATGTTACAAGAAATATGTAATAAACATGGTCTACTCAAACTTGAAATTTGCAGATAAAAGCCAGCAACCAGTTTAACTACAGACTCTACAAGAGGGCACAACTTCCAACATGCTGCTGTTGTGTGGGGGGAACAAAGTGTTATTTTTAACACCTCCTCAAAGTGGCTGTTTGATGCTCACCAACTTTTCAATGAGCCCAACCTAAAATGTAGGGCCAAACGTAGCATTAAGGCAGTGAGGTAGTGTGTGTGCACGTGGAGAGTCAGTCAGTCTTGGTCGGTTTTGACAGTGCAGGAATACCTCAAGAGGCTTCGCTTGCCTGTGCCTGACATGGAGGCATCTCTTGATAATTGGTTTTCCAGAGGGCAGGTGTAGAGCATGTTCCAAAAACAGGCTGAGGAAGTTCAGTTTTACCTTTAGAAAACCAGTGTTCCAAAAATCATTACAGTTGCTGAAATTTTAGACCCAGCTATTTAAAAAGCCACAAAAAAGGGCATATATTGTTCTCTAGATATACTCTCTCATATATGTTTGAAGGGCCTAAAGCTCTTCACAACCATCCCAATAAAATCTCTGCAAAAAATTGTAGTAACAGTAACCTGCTTGCCATTCCAGCAGAGTGCCTTTTTGAAGCAAAAACTAATGGATATATGCCCCACTGCAGATGGGCTGTGTAATGCACCAGGTTACTCTTCAGACTATCTACACCATTTATTCCTGGCTCTAAATGTTTTACAGACTTCACACAATACTCTTGTTTCCATTTTATTACACAGTGGGAAACTGCCTTCAGGAGACACGCATGAAAAGTTGAGAGCATGAGTAATACATACATTTACTATAAATAACTATATTTTTGTAAAAGCTTGTTGAGAGAGAGAGAATAATTGATGACACAGGCTTAATAAGCAGAAAGTTAAATTTTTGAGCCAGGTTTTGTTATCCAGGGTGGCTGTACAGTGCAGAAGAGCTACATACCTGGAAAAGAACAAGGTTTAGTTGTGCTTTTTGTTGCAAAGTGCTCTAAAACTCCAAAGTTTCCTCAGGAGGCAGTCTAGTCTTATTACCAGTAATGCAATTTTTAACTTTTATCCATCTATTTTTTATTTGCTAGATAAATCTTTCAGCCATTCTGATGTACCAAAGTCATTAAAGATCTGTTATATTAATGAGTTGGAGACCCAGTCTGCTTTCTGCCCATAGTGTTTTACTTGCCATGTTTCTGAAAGTCTTTTGGTGTGAGCAAGTATTCTTCATGCTCTAAAGCCATCCCTTGTCACTTTAATTTCTGGTGTATATAACTGCGAGGAACGGTTTTCAGCCTCTTGAGAAGTTGTTGGTAAAGGGGTTGTTCCTCAGCTTCATTTTGCGAATTGCTTCCTGCTGGAAATCCTGCAGACGTGTCCCCTCCTCTGCTTCCTGCTCGTGTTCCCATTCTTAATGAAACACAGTTTTATTACATGCATAACTAAGATTCTTCTGAAGGAGCAAGATAATTTCCCATTTGAAACCAAACTTCGTGCAGCGTTACGGATACAGGTGTTCTGGCTTTATTTATGTCTGTGATGTTCATTTTCTTATCCTGGCTGACCTTTCCAAGTGCCACGGAGGCTGAAGGAACCAGAAAACCCTGATGTTTAAGGCCACGTCAGCCTTGTATTTTGGAACAGAGGCATTTTTCTAGTGGTCACGCTCCTCATTTTCTGTAGGGTACGCCTTGAAGTTTAGCTATCTGTTGGCAGCAAAAGAACTTTGAGATAGAAGCAAACATTTTTCTGCACCTTGGTGTTGCAGAGTGCAAAGAAAGGAGAGGATCAAACATTTAGTCTCTGTGGAGGGGTGATAGGACTGTGAAAGAGGATGGCAAGGTGCAGAGAAGGGTTTCCCTAGAGGATTTCTGGGTAATGCTTAGTTATCATTTATGTACCTTATTTGTAATTTCACCTGTATACCTGCCTTAATTTCTTGTCTTCATGCCAGCTGCTCCCATGTTTACATTTCAGTTTGTCTGCAGCCTTCCTGGTATTTGGTTACTTGACAGAATTAATTGGAATTACTGTAACCAATTAGTCCAGACTTTCTAATACTGACTGGGAGGTAGAAGGAGTTAAAAAGCTGATGGGGATGTTTAAAAAGTTGTAGCTGTTAGATTTAGTGAATATTAATGCCCTTTGAAAACCCTTTAGTGGTTGTAATTGCCCGTTTTTTTTCCCCTGCACTGTAATGATGTTCTCTGTCAAAGCTCAAAGACCAGGAACTGGCTGAGGGTGAACTATATTTAGATACCACAGAAGTCCGACAACTCTCTCCAGAGAGCGCTTTTTCCTTCCTGTTCCTCCTCCCCCCCCAAATTTACACTTCTGGTTGGATTTTTCAGGTTGAGTTTAATGGGCATGCTAGATGTTCTTCTAATAATTCCACACACAGCACACACGCACCCTTCTAACTTCTCAAAGGCATTTAAAAAAGCAACTAGAAATTACATAATATACCAGTTCATCTTATTTTCAGCCAAATATGCAAACAGCTGTTCAAAGAAAAAAACCAGGCCAGGTGGCAACCTGAACAGAAAGAACCAGGTAACCTCGCTCTGCGAGGAGATTGTTTGCCTACTCCCTTGGAGGGGTAAATTAGACTTCTTTTAAACCACTCTCAGAGTCTGTAGCATGTTCTCAGCTAGTATTTATTTTCTTTTCTCCTGGTCTCCAAATTTACCCAGTTCCTTGTAATCCATACTCTAGTGTCACTTCATTATTCTCACTGGCACTCACCCTGAATTTCTATGTTGGCTTCTTCAGTGGATTATCCAGGTCTGGGGAAGGATCTCCATGTAGGCTGTGTTTATTTAGTTCGGGCCCAACAAGCATTTCTCCTTGTTTGGAAGGCCTGGCTGAAAGCCACCTTGCACTCCACTGCAAGACTGTTGGTGACTTCCAACCGGGTCTTGCTGAGCAAGATGCATAGGGGTGTGGGTGCATGCATGTATGTGTGGCTGGTAAATAAACACTGAAAGCAGCATTATCTGATTTCTTGGACTGCACCATATGGATGCCTTTCTGGTGGGCTGTAGAAAGCTGTTCAGATTTGCACTTTTCTACATTTTTTTTCTTTCATTCTTTTTTTTTTTTTTGCTTTGTTTTGTTTCCAAATTTTGCTCTTCCATAGAGCTACAGCAAAATTTCCTGGTAATAGCCAGGAAGGAGGAGCTCCGTGAAGCGTCTTGTCGCGGGATGAGGCCTGTCCTCTGCAACAAATTTGAGAAAACCACGTACCTCTGATAAAAGTACAGAATTTTCTATTGCCAAACCTGAGTCATACTGCCAGCATCAGTGCAGACTCACTGTGTGATGTTGGCTGGGTTTGCAGAATATGTTTTTTCCAAAATAAATGCCAGGCTGTGTCTGCTTCTGCCTTTACTTTGCATGCCTGAATGGTCACAATTTGGGCATGAAGTCTTCAGGCATCAGTCTCCCGCTATGCTACTTGGGTGTACTGGTGAGTTCAGGGGAGTTTGTTCCAATAGTGGCTTTTTTCGTGATTGTTGCTGATAGAAAGTTACTTTTAAGAAAAGGTATTCTGGAAAGGTCAAAGATCCTTCTGATAACTGTGATGGTAACGTCTTTCTTGGGTGTCTCTTCACCATGAACATCTATTTCTTTGTCTCCCGTTGCCTGTGTGCCATGAAGGTTAAATTTGGTACTAAGCCCTGGCTTTAGGGTGTATATTTTGGAGATGGTGTGCATCTGGAGCACACTGTCTGGTTCTCAGAGTGTGCAAACTGAGCTCCTCTCCAGCCTGGTTTCCAAAGCTCAGCCTGCATGGGCACGCGCCTCCGTTGTCAGATGGGTCCGTGATTTTCATCATCCCGCATAGCATGCACAGGGTCCTGAGAGGAAGAGGAGAATGGACTCCCTGCGTTGGCACTGCCCAACGTACAGAATCCATACCGTGCCCTGCCTCATCACCGAATGTGTCCTAGGCTCCCTTCTGAACAGCACAGCGTATACACATATACACATTATGGCAGGAATAACGTGGTTTCTCTGATGAAATTGGATCCAAGAATTACAGAATCACAGAATGGTCTGGTTTGGAAGGGACCTTAAAGACCATCTAGTTCCAACCCCCCTGCCATGGGCAGGGACACCTTCCACTAGACCAGGTTGCTCCAAGCCTCATCCAGCCTGGCCTTGGACACTTCCAGGGATGGGACACCCACAGCTTCTCTGGGCAAGTAGTAGAATTGCTGCTGTCATCTTTAATTGATTTTTTTACTGGCCAATTTAATATTTTTTTTTAAATCCATAAAATAATGTCTAGTCTTTTCATAATATATGTTCGCACTTATGGAAGCAGTTCTTAAAAGCCAAACCTTCTCTAGTAAGCTGTGAATGTTAAGAGAGATGAGAAGAAGGACTATTTAGCAGCTTACCTGAGTCCATCTGTGGCAGTTTTATGAAGAAAAGTGAAATATTTCAAATGAAGTTCATGTGTCTCCAGAAATGGGTTGGTAAGAGGGGGAAGCATCAAGGGACATGTTGACAGATATTTAATTATAATAGCAGTAGTGGCTGTTGCTGTGTTAATAGCATCTGGCAGCAGAGTCACCACCATCTGCTAATGCCCTGAAATTCTGATACGGTGCATCCTTTATGGAGAAATTAACAATAATTAACAAATCTATCAAATGAAGTCACCTTGATTGGATGACAGCTTTCCTTTTATAATTATTAATTGCAAAATAACGGGGAGTAGAATGTCCACTATTCACCTTTTGCTATAGATTAGCTAATGCCGATATCCAGGTACAGCATCCTGGAGGGTTTGTATTTAAGGTTCTGGTGCAAGGCATCATTTGCTGCAATTACTTTAAATAATCCTTATAAGCAGAGCTAGATTAAAAACAAACTTTGTGCATCTTAATTTCTATTTGCAACAAATTAAGACTCTCAAACTAGTTGCAGTTCTGTTGATACATGGTAGCTTATTTAATGTTAAATAAGGGAGAAAATGAGGTTAAACTGAAAGAATTGACCCTTCACCTCAAGTCAAGTTGGTCTGGAAGAGCAGTCAGACTACGCTAAAGCATTGTGGGTTTTTTTGTAAGCTCCACATTAGAATCCAAACCATTAATTTCTCATGAGTCAGCTTGTCTTCAAAGTGATGGTTAAAAAATATTCTATTTGCTTGTATTTGGTAGCATTATTTTTGAATATCTATTTTTATCAAGGCCAATATTTCAGTCAGTGTAATGAAATATCACTGCCATGAATAATAGCTATAAACAAAGCAATGAGCCAATTCGAGACCTGGTTGGGTTTTGTTTTTCTCTTAACTTCTCTTTTTCTGTTCGTTCCTGCTGAGCACCAGATGGAGAAGGTGACATGCTCTCTGATTAAGTACAAGAATTGTTAAGTAATAAATAATTGAGGTGTGTTAATTATCAGAAGCAATAGGAAGGAAAGAGTAAACTTGGGGCTCTTGAAGTCAAGTGAACTGGAATTTTATTTCCCTCTTCCTGTGTGAATCAGTTAATATTCTGAACGTTGCTGTGGGACCCACAGAGAGAAGGCAACATACATTTTTCTTGTGTCTTCCTATTTGTTCCTAAGTGACAGAAGTTTCTTTAGGCTGGGATTTGTGCTGATGCCAGCTACTGATAGAGCTGCACTGACGCCAAACCACAAGCGGAGGTGTGGAAAGCCGGGTTTGCGCTGCCATAATTTACCACAGCTCCTGACGCAGAAGCAGTAAATCAGAACTTCCCTTTCCTTGTAATTGAGGCAGTGGATTTGCAGCAATTTTTTGGTGGGGAAAGGTCTATGCTTCCAGGGTGAGGGTGTGCAGGGGCAGAGCACAAAAATCCACCCTGTGTTGTGGGACGTGGGCAGGAGGTGCTACAGCTGCAGAACGTGCCTGCTGCTGGACCATCCAGATGTGCTCTCCAGGGTGTGTAGTGCAGACCATTTCTGCTTTCTGCCTCTGTCCACTGCCAATAAACTAATCGAGTGTATCTGAGGATAAGGGCAAGGGTCACCTGGACCATGAGGTTGGGATTTAGCTGATTTCTGGTTTTGGTGTCTTCTCCATGAGACCTACCCCTCTCTTTTTATTTTGCTTTTCAGTTGAATGAGTTTGCTTGATAGTTGTATGGGTCATCCATCAACTCACATGAGTTGTGGGCCTACACACATGCATGTTCAGCACACACGCAACATGCGTGTTGCATGTCATCTCCGGTTAACACTTAAAATTGGAAGAGCCTTTGAAAGCAAGTGTTTTCGTCTTCTGTTCTGCAGCTTTGACTTGACATCATGGGCAGGCAGTGGCTGGTGGGATGTAACAAAGGGAGAGAGAGCTTTCTTAAGGCTTGGAAGAAAGGCTTGTTTCTTTCTCACTGTCATTTTCATGGAAGACACTGTTTTCTGTTTAGGAGGATTAGAAGCTATGCATTAAACAGTGTTAAATATGCTGAGGCAGTTGATGTTTACAGCCCTTGTGGAATTATTCATTAAAATATTAACTGCTAGACAGCCTCCTTTTTCTTTTTAATTCAGTGATTTAGTAGCCCTCTTAAAAATCATGTTGTGTGATTCAGACATTCAAAGACTAAATAAGATAAAACAAAACAACCAAAATTACCCACAAAAGCACTAATTCTTGGGTTTACATTTCTTAAATTGTCATGGGCATGACGTGCCTCAAATTCAGACAGATTTGTGGAGCGGGTGAGCTGTACGATTTGACTCAGCTCTCTCCCATCTGCACCAGCAGCTTCCCCTAACACGCAGCGCTGGGGAGATGTGGAAGGGGCCGTATCCTTCTCCACGTTTTTGCAGACAATAGATACGTGTGTGCACTAAGCTTTGGTTTACGGAAGCTTTTGGCATGAGGACAGGATGCTACCTTGAAGTGCTGGCTCTC